CCACAACAATGTACACGTACTCGACTGGGAGATGGGTCACACTCATGGCGAAGTCGAGTCATGTCATGAGTCTACACTCCTTATCGTCTTCGTAGAACTTGAAGGTTCTAGACTTACTTACAAGTACATGTAAGGCTAAGGCCTTAGTAAGGGCGGGTTCGTCACTCTTTGACTTCAAAGTCACACATTTAATAGTTCGAGGAGTTTCGTTTTTCTGAAGAGGTGGCTTATTGGCCTCTTCAGAAAAACGAAACTCCACAACCTCATCCGATGGGAGAGGTGGATTAGTTCCGAAGAGTTTGGAATAGCTACGCCGAGATGGTCGATCTGATCAGACATCATCATCGCCATGACAATTCCACTGAAAAACTCTAAAAATTAATGATAGTAACCGTTCTATAGGGATACTTCAACTACCGGTAATCTCTTTTAAAAATTCGTTCGAACAGTTGATGAAGATAATTCGAACGCCCCCTAAGTAAAGACATACATGTAAGTGGCAGCAGATCTATCCGCGGTTGGTCTTCACGACCCGGTTCTGACCCTCTGTATTCTAGGAAGTAAGTATTAGTTGTCTTGCCTTTCTTGTTGTTGTAACTTACCGTCAGTCGTGTAGACTCTTACTAGTATTCGTTGTTCGCTCCTTGATGTTATCTTCATACTCAGTCCTCATAATAATAATATTTGTAGCTTTTAACTGGTTTGAGGGAAAGAGACAAACGGGAAAAGTCTGAAGAAAAAATTGACTGTCACCACCAGGACTCGAACCAGGGACCCTCGCTTTTGTTCTGAATTGTTCTGCTTTACTGTAAAAGCAGAAATTTTCGGCGGTGTAATATTTTCGGTATTCTCCAAAATCGGCGGTTCGGCGGAGGGAAATTTTCGGTAAACCCGCGTTCCAGGTAAGTGTACTAGTACTATACCGACATTTTCGGTGCGTTTTATTTTCGGTAAAAATTTCGGCACAGAAGTTACCGAAAATAAAACACCACCGAAAATTTCTGCTTTTACAGTACTTTTACTTCTCTTTTTATACTCCATTTTCAACTTCTGCCCATGGCGTCCTTCTCTCAGCTCGTCAGCCGACAACAGTTACTGTCGCCACCATGACACTGTCGTGAGAAGGTGCTTTTGATTTTTGACCCAGCCCATCCGCTTTTCGTTGGCATCGCGCCAGCGGGTGCAGTGGCACAGCCGCACTACATTTCAGCGATTGGGTGTGTGACTAATTACATGTACTTCAGTATAAAACAGAGTCCAAAGCGGTTGTTCATACGAAATAGTGGCAGCGACCTAGGCGACCATTTTATAAGGAAGTTGGTAGGTAGCATCCTCCCACACTGGAGCTCGCGCTTTTCCCGCCGACCTGACTTGACACTTGACTGACGCACGACTGGCGTCCAGAGCACACAAGAAGTTCATCGAACCTTCCACTCGGCAAACCAGCAAGAAAGCACCACTCACTTCTCAATAGTACACAATACTGTGTATTAGTATTCAAACAATAGGAGGACAGAGAAAGTGTTTTTACTCCGAGTTTCACGCACTAAGCGATCATCAGAAAACAGTAATGAGAAATCTGGATCTGTATTGGTTTATATACTCACAAAGCAAAGTGTAAATAGCTGCAGCATGGCGCACATCTAAAACAGCTCCGCCCTCAGCTGCAGATTAATGCATGGAGGAACACGGCAGCGGTGATAGAGTGGTTCTCAAGAATACCAGAGAAAGAAAACTGCATATTCGTGTGCTTTGACATCGTAGATTTCTACCCCTCAATATCCGAAGACCTCATCCAGAGATCCGTCGAATTCGCCCGCCGCTACACGGACATCTCTCAGGAGGAGTGTGACATAATACTCCACGCCAGGCGATCACTGCTGTTTGGCTTGGAGAGGCACTGGGTGAAGAAACACAACGAGCACTTTGACGTGACAATGGGGTGCTATGATGGGGCTGAGGTATGTGAGCTTGTTGGAGCCTTCGCCCTCGCCATGATAGCGGACGTGTTCGACGGCAGAGACGTCGGGTTGTATCGTGACGACGGCCTGGCTGTGTTCAGAAATGCATCAGGACATGAAGCTGACCGAATAAGAAAGGAGATGACGAAAATATTCCAAAACCTCAGACTTAAGATAACGATACAGACAAACCTGAAGAGAGTCGACTTTCTGGACGTGACATTGGACCTGACCACCGGAAAGTACTGCCCGTACCGGAAACCGAACGACACGCCGATGTACATCAACTGCCAGTCAAATCATCCACCTACAATCATCTAGAACCTACCTGCATCGATCAGCAGAAGACTAACAGATATTTCCAATGATGAAGACGTCTTCAGAGATGCGACTCCGATCTACAGTGACGCGCTGAGGAAGTGTGGATACCGAGAGAACGTACAGTATTTTGACGAGCGTAAAACGGACGAGACAAAAAAGAAGAAGAAAAAGAATCGCCCCCGGAACATCATATGGTTCAACCCACCATTTAGCAAGAGCGTCGCCACCGACGTCGGACATCGCTTCCTCCAGCTAGTGGCCAAACACTTCCCCAAAGGCTCAAGCCTCAACAAAATCTTCAATCGGAACTCTGTAAAAGTTAGCTACAGTTGCATGCAGAATATGGCCACTATCATCAAGCAACACAATAACACGATTCTACGACCCAAGAAACAAGCTAACGGAGGTGACAACGACACCAGGACTTGTAACTGTCGGGCGAAAGACTCATGTCCACTGGACGGAGCGTGTCTAACGGAGAGCATCGTGTATAAGGCAAGAGTCACCGCAGGTATGGAGAAGAAGGAGTATACTGGATTAACAGCAACAACATTCAAACAACGCTACTATAACCACCAATCCTCATTCCGCCACAGACAACACGAGAAGGACACCCGCCTATCGCAGTACGCCTGGACCAAGAAGTATGTTCTCCCGAGCTAGCTCCCTCTTCACCAGCTTCTTCGTGAGAGTTACTGGTGACCGCACTCGGGGAGCAGCACATCACCTAGTTCGAGTACCATTTTGGCCCGGTCCTGCGGGTCGAGCGACCATGCAGTTCATCGGCGCAGTCCTGTGGAACCAGCTCCCGCCTGATCTCCGTTCCGAGCCCAGCCACCTTCAGTTCTGTGCCCTGCTAAAAGCGCATCATGGCTCCGTTTAAATGCTTTTCGGCTAGTGTGTTTCTGTGGTATAGCGGACTGAAGAATAGTAAACGTGTTTTGCAATAATATGTATGAAGCTATTTTGTATATAGTATGTTCCCATTCCGTTTTTGCTTTGGTGTAGCCCTGAGGTTGATTTGCTTATTTATTTCTACCCTTCCTCTCTCTGTACTTCGCCCCCCCCCCTCTCATTCCTTCTGTCGTCCACATGTATCAAGGGAGGCGAAATCGCCTGTTTGTTTGTGGTGCGACGTTAAATAAACTTCTACAACAAGGATGAAGGGAAGGCATGCAGCATTCAATGGGCGGTACACCGCAGAGCAGCGGCCTACAGCAACAAAAGCAAAGGGTGCAACCTGTGCCTGGCGGAAAAATTGGCAATCGCGCAAGCACCCAAGCACCTCTCTCTCAACAAAAGGAGCTTGTGTCAAAGTGTCGCCACGAGAATAGGTACTACCTTCGGAACTTCAAACCATCCACAGCCATCACCTAATTAAGTAAGAGACAACCGGCTCCAGTGGTTGTCACCTTTCACCACTGCTGTCATTCACACTTTTACTTTTGGATTTGCCTCATGATGCAGTCATTCACGCTTTGCACTGCCGCCATTCACAACTTTTAGATGTGCGCCATGCTGCAGCTATTTACACTTTGCTTTGTGAGTATATAAACCAATACTGACCCAGATTTCTCATTACTGTTTTCTGATGATCGCTTAGTGCGTGAAACTCGGAGTAAAAACACTTTCTCTGTCCTCCTATTGTTTGAAGCAGCTCTACCACTCGGTATTGAGCACTCTCTTGGACAGCCTGGAACCTCTCTGTTTTGTTGTACTAGTATTCAGATCGAAGTAGTGGTTGCGACTTCGGCGATGATTTGTAAGAAAGGTTTGCTCCCCACACCGGAGCTCGCGCTATTCAGGAGCAAACCTTTCTTACAAATCATCGCCGAAGTCGCAACCACTACTTCGTACTGTTGTGCCCAGCGCGGGCTTGCGACTAGTTGGTTTGGAGGTGACAGCGTTGCGAATGACCGAGGGTCCTCGACGTCTGTCTCACCGTCCAGGAGCGACACTGACTCACGCTGCTATCTGGTGTTCACGAGGTGTTTGTCGCGCTGGAAGCGGAGCGTCTCTGTAAGTTTGTATCCCTGGTGATGTTTGTGCCTGGAGAGCACTATATAAGTGGTGCTCTTCAGGCATAATCTTCCTCAGCCTACTCAAGCTCAACTGATGAGGGATGAATTCCCCGAAACACTGTGTATTGAGCAGGGAGTGGTGCTTTCTTGCAGGTTTGCCGAGTCGAAGGTTCGATGGACGTCTCGTGTGCTCTGGATGGCAGTCGTGAGTCAGTCAAGTGTCAAGTAAAGTCGGCGGAATAGCGCGAGCTCCGGTGTGGGGAGCCAACCTTTCTTAGTATTCAGATCGCCGTAACTAACCCAAAGCCGCGGGTACCGGGTGTAGAACATGGTATAAGGTAGCTCAGAAGACGGTGATGCTACTACTACATGTCATGTACCGGTAGTAGTAGACTCTACAATCATGTGGACTCATCTGCAGCTGCAGTACACTGTACACCCTGCTGACCCTGCTGACCCCTAATCGGTTATCCTAGATCCCACACAGACTGGACATACTGCCACTTACACTGGGCTTTGCCCACAACCATGCGATCCAGGTCTGAGGATAACACCGAGTTAGAGACACCACCACATAACAGGTACAGCTACCTCTACCCAACTGACCCTAATCCTAGATCCCACACTGGCCGCTTTACATACAACCTTGCGACCGAGGTCAACTGGCACATCGACACCACCACAGAACACCTAGTAGTGATTCAATAATAGCTGTGACATTGTTATCAGTGATAGCTGTAGCACTGGAGAGAAACATGAGCTAAGCAACCGTTGCACGGGCACTGTGCAGACCTTTTTTAATGATCGCATGCATTGCTACCAATTTAATTACGAATAGAGTTTAGACAATTATCGGTGAATTACCTGAAAGGAAGAAAACAAATACCCAATATAGACCAGCAAAGAGCATACAGACACCAGTGCCTGCACTCCTTCTGGGTTTACTTATTTCTTTTTTAGTCTTGATCTCAAGGTGAAACACTCAACGGGGGTATGTCGAACTTTTACGGGTCAATATAAAGACTTAAAACAAGGTACTAGGCGCTAAATTGATAAATACTCGTACTGGGATATCAGTGGAATGGAGTCCACCAGTTCCAGTTGTGGCTGTGACGAATGGTGGTGGTGGTGGCTGGACTTGCCAGTGGTTGAGAATGAGCAACGCACACGCATGCCTATGCTGCTCCGCTAACGGCTAGCTGCGGTGCGTGGCCAAAGAATCCATTGCAAGGCGCGTTCTCCTCCAGAGAGGAGCTGTGCACGTCAATGTTTGATGCAGGCGTACTGCACGGTAGAGGCGCATGGGATCGAGCATGTTTGGACGAGGCAGTGCTGTGGTTCTCCAGGGCAATTGGCCGCCATAATGCATCGTCGAGTGCAGCACCGCCAGGAGTACTGGTGGTGCCAATGCCGTTCACGGTACCCGTCTTCAGTGCATTGGCTAGTAATAGAAAGCGACAGCCCTCACTCAACTGATCAGGTTGAACTGAGCGACGGTGACTTTGCGGCCATGATGATACGGACAGTGCTCCCGCAGAGTACGGAGTTGGTGCATATATTGCCGAGCAGTCATCACCGGAGGTGGCAACCGGTATTGACCGTCGTTCATCGGCAACAACAGACGATTCATCTTTCGTGTCCTGTATCTGATGGTATTGCTCGGCGGATTGTAATACAATGGTTCTGTACCTCTCATCATCGCCTATTGCTACCACAGGTGTTTTGCTGATGCTACTAGCGTTGCCAGGCAACACTTGCTTGCCATGTGGCTGCAAAGTAGTTGCAGCATTGGAGAAGGACCCGTACGCCATATGACAGCATTCGCCCGGGTTGTAGCCAAAGCACAGTGGACAGGAGATGGTGGTGCAAGATGCAATCACTCCGTTAGCCTGGCTGACGTCCGAGGGAGACGAGTGTTGCTGCTGGCGAATCGGACTCAAGAGGAGCCGTCGTTCCGAGGTCCTTTCCCGTTGCACCAGGCTGATATCGGATTGATAGGAGGGATTCTTCACATACCGTTCGTGCTCCTCTGACCGTTGGTTACTGACGGCCTCTGCAAGTGAACGGCGGATTTCCGCTGTTGCCTCAGTGATGCTGTCGAGCGTCGTTTCAGCTGTCACGAAGCTACCACCTGCGACGCTACCGCATGTGGGCTGCTGCGGTGCTGCGTGCTGTAGCAATTGCCGCTGTTGAAGCTGGTGTGCAGGATTGTCGGTCGGCGACGGCAGAGAGCCATTCCTTGTCAACGTTGCCATGAGTATGCCCTGCGGTGTCAGGGATTCTTGCGGCGAGTGCAGTGGCCCGGCACTGCTCGTGGTGTTGGATGATGGCTCGGAGTCGGATTTCACCAACTTTGTGCCACGCTTCATCCTACGGCACATTGAATGAAGAGCAGACATGGCGATATTATGTACTTGAAGTGTTAATGAAGCTGCAGGCAGGCATACCGTAAAGCAAGAAACTTTCACGGCGTGCACAGTGCACAGTGCACAGTGCACACTGCACAGTTAGCGTAACAAGAACTGCTACACAGGCTAACGATAAGAAAGGCAGTCGCGGCTTTTAAGCTCTTTAGCTGGGTTATGACTGTATTGTTCCCAATAAATGCAGTGAATGCACAGAGACGTTGGTGGTGATTTAAAAATTTGCGAAGGGTCAGGATGTGAACCTTTTATCCTTCCTGCAAACCTCCACAGGGTGGTGGAACATAACCCTCGCTGTACCCACACACTCCAAGGTATTATTAGAATACCCAGAATCTATTCGCTGACCGTCATTCTCCATACGGTCGCAGACAGATTTTTTAGTCAGAAAAGTAGAAGAAGGCGCTCTACAGCATAGTGGCCTCGTTACAGCCTGGTGCCTTGATGGAAGCAGCTCACCAGACTCATTTGCCAATGTACATGTATTCAAGATCTGGGGCTTATGGAACACTGACAACACTGACAACACTGACAGTGCACATAAAAGTATCATTTTTACATTGCTGTGAGTGTGAAGACTTCACTTCACTTCATCCTGCTCACATGATCACGGTGGTGTATAATTCTGCACATTTCTGGCATCAAATTTACATATTTTTCACGGTGGAAACCTCCTCGATAGGCTCTGGCCTTTGGAGTATCCCTTTTAATATTTTTTTTGTGAAATTACGTTATTGTAGCTCAACGGTCCACTACAGTGCACATGCATGAGCAGCTCAGTGTCTGCATAGTGCACATGCACGAGCAGCTCAGTATCTGCATAACTTACTGACGGCGCAGGAAAACTTCCAGCACACAGCCCAGCACCACCAGAGTTACGAGCACGCCAATGGCAGCCAGGACAATTGCATGAGATCCTGCAAAGCCGGAGATGTTCCATGAACAGTCATGTTCAAGCACAATTGCACACACACACACACACACACACACACACACACACACACACACACACACACACACACACACACACACACACACACACACATACACACACACACACACACACATACACACACACACACACACACACACACACACACACAGTGACACACACACAAGCATTACAGGCAAATCTACTTGTGCATAGAGTATACAGAATGTGTAGCATTAAGGTGACATCATTGTCTATGTTTTGCGTTGAGTAGGAAATTGACAAGCCATGGCATTTTTGTGATGCTATGCAATGCCATACATCTCAAATATCTCAAATAAGCTAAATAATCAGATTATTTTTAGCGACGCACCTCCGATGGCCTCATCTTCGTGTCCAGACCCAAATACTTGCCCTCTGTTCTGACTAAACTGTTTCTATCTCTCAATCTGGTTACTATGCGAAACAGTGTACAAAGAGCGGAGGGCAAGTGTTCAGGTCTGGATAAAAAAATAATAATGCAAGCCAGTCAAAAGATAGTCAAACAACCGAAAACACATCTCGGAACCGGAGTCTACATTGTATCGATCGTTGAACGCCTACTGTCATCCTTGGCTCACCAACTGAGTTCTTACCTAGTGTGATGTTGATTTCTAAAAACATGACCAATTTCGAGCTTCAAACTTCCAAAGACTGCTGGTTAAAAGAGACATTGGTAGCCATGACAACACAGTATGGTAATGGTTGTGCTACTTGCTGCGGCATTGCTGCTGCACCTACTGCTTACCTACGCCGTCCTTCTTGCTGCACGCCACGTGTACGCAGGACTGCGTTTGGTTGGCTTCCGAGCAGGGTATCCAGTCATCGGTGAACTCGGCGAGGAGCAGTTCTTGCATGCTGAGCGGACTGGGGTGTCTGCTCTGTGAGTTACATGTTGGTAAACTGCACTCCGACCATTCGGACCAACGGCACGCTGTATAGTGAAACAGCAGCAGCAGCAGCAGCAGCAGCGGGAATGGGAAGGCAAAGCAACATTTACATTTTTATCCACTCGAGCACATGCACAACAGACAACACATTCAACACATTCAACAAGGTGGTGACTCTAATAACCTATCCAGCATGCAGTGGAAATTAATGAAAAACATAACAGTCATGCCGGTTCATAATCTCTGCACCCATGTACCAACCAAGTGCTTGCTTGTAATTTCTTTCTGATATCCAATTCTATGTTGTACAGGTGCACCAGGTCATACATTAGCATGTGGCTTGTAGAAGTGTACAACAGTTGTGAGCCATGCATGCCTAGAAGTGGTATGACTGGTATAGGCAAACCAAAACTCCTTGTGCGTTTACATGTCAAACGAGCTGGCAACCGGCCAGCCAGAATCTCGGATCGAGGTGCCCGAGATCACGGCTGGCTGGCCCAGGCCACTTGCCAAGTAAACTCATGAGGTTCATTTCGCTTACATACATGCCCGAGATCACAGATGCACACCACCAGCCCACCTGTCACCGGGGCTGAGGACTAGCCTGTCAGGGGTGAGGGGTATGTGTATCACATAGATTAGCCAGATCGGAAGTTGCCCCGACCCCCCCCCCCCCCCCCCCCCCAGAGCTGTTACTTCTTTGCCAAAGCTCCAATACGTTTAGAGAGAACTCACTTTCAGTCAAATACATTGTCCAGACATCGCATCCAACCTCGTCTTCACCCCCATCGCAGTCGGTGTGGTTGTCGCAGCGGTAGACTTGTGGCCAGCAGCGTGACTCGTTCAGGTGTTTGCACTGCACACCGCCATCACCTTCACAGTTCAGCATACTCGCTGTCAGACACAATAGCAAGACACAACACACACACACACACACACACACACACACACACACACACACACACACACACACACACACACACACACACACACAACACACACACACATACACACACACATACATACACACACACACATACACATACACACACACACACACACACACACACACACACACACACACACACACACACACACAGAGACCTTGGCATACATACACAAGCTACACAACAATGCCCTGGGCATGTGTTCATACATGTTTGGCTAGCACCATGCGAGAGCTAACTAAAATAATGCACCAGAGGGTGACAAACAGCCCATGGCCATACCGACCAAGGGCACAGCAGCCTGACAATAGACAGATTAAAGTTCAGTTTGTATGCAACAAACTCCAAATCATGAAAAGTTGGAAACCTTCCACGGCGACTTACGACAGTTGGTTTCGTCGCTATTGTCCTGCGGACTAGGGCATTCTACGTGACCATTGCAGAGATACCAGCGGGGCAGACAGCCGCCCTTGTCACAGGAGAACTCATCCTTTGCACATTGCTCAGCCGTGACACCAGAATTCCCTGGAGAAGGTATACAACAAAGAAAGCCAGACATGACAGGTGAGCCGTCAAGTTGAGTTCTGATGTGAACCAGGGTTTTCAATCAAGCGAGAAAGAATGCCGCGTAAAGAGCGCAGACTGCAGCAGACAAAACAACACCAATAACGTAATCTACATGCATTAGCTCACTCCACCGTTTGATGTCACACCCTCCACTTCCTCTAACGCAACGTATCAATTTCAAATACATGTACCCCTTTGCATAACCAGGGTTTATTCGCCGAATATGCCTCTGGGTCCTAATAGTGGAATACTGTTCACACTTGTATTCTTCAAGTGATCAATACGACTAACCACACATACTCAGTGACATACTACATGACATTGTGGTCACGGTTTCCCTAAAGAACCCAGTGTGTCTAGGTTTCGGATTGGATACCACGATGCTGTCATTCGTATCTCTGCACCTTGTACCTGCCTGGTCAATCATTGTGTGCACGTGTGTGTGTGTGTCTGTGTATGTATGTGTGTGTCTGTGTGTGTATGTGTATGTGTGTGTATGTGTGTGTGTGTGTGTATGTGTATGTGTGTGTATGTGTGTGTATGTGTACAGGCTGCGGACCCAATCACATCTCAGTTACAAAACATAGCAGCTCTATTCAGCACAGACAATCATGGTATTGCGGTTATTTCCAAACCATGACTACAGCATGCTTGGGGGGGGGGGGTTAAATACAGTGAACTTTTAGCACTGGCCGATTCCCAAGAACTTCTCCTAAACTGGAATGTGCTTATGGTCTGGCCACTAAGTGGTGTACATGTAAATGTACAGGTTCTCATCAAGAAAACTCAATGCCAGAACAACTCAATCACTTTTCAAGTGGATATGGTGTACTTTGCAAAGTTTCACTTAGCAACTGCAGAATTTTCTTTCAGGGCAGGGTGGAATGCAGCTCTTTGATAAAGACTATTATTAAAGAGGCACTTAAATTGTGGGATTCTGTTAGCACAACCCCTCCACTGCAGCAGCAGCACGTATTGCAATATGACAGGCTACACGGAAGTGTTACACGTTGTAGATTTCCTCAAACCTTGTTACGGTAGCCATTCTCAGGTTACTGACAGTGCTGGTCAGACATACGGAGCACCTACAACTACAAGCAAGTGTACATGACTCTTGCTACAAGGCTACAAGGCTACATGTACATCACTTCTACAATTCTAGAGTAGACATGATGTATTTAAGTATCGCCATGGTTTCCATTCATCATCATGGCATGTCCGAAAATTTGTCCAGTGAACCATGCATCCCGCTCTGAGCAGGACAGTCCCACGATTCTAATTTAAAATTAAAGCATTGGAGGCCATTATGGGTATCTCGCTTTAGCCACGATGATGTGGTTATTGGCTAACGCCTGACCACGTGGCTGGGTTTCTAAGTAGTTTTGAACTGGTCACTATTATGTACCGTGATGTACGTTGTTTTTAGCGACGTGTTTGGACATGTACATGTACCTGACGATCTGCTAATACAGTAATACAATCATGTATTAAATGTACTCAATCATGTAATTCACATGTACATGGACAAGCGATTATCTGGACTATTTCAATACCAGCAGCTGCCGTGCATGTAAAGTCCTGTACCTCATCATAAGTATCAGTCTGGCACAGTGATGTACTGGTGACCGTGCTGTGGTGGTCTACAGTCATTGTCCTGTGCATGTGTATTGACTGACTCTGTAAGTTGTACCGGTATGTGGACAATTATGTAGCTGATCACAAACTAATGAAGACGTCACACTATTGCCAGACTCTACTCTTGTAGGTCTCCCTCCCGTCTCTTGCTGCCTGCATGGCTGCAGGATGCATAGCAGTGCTAACTATTACTCAGAGCCACTGGGTGACGCAGTCGCTGGCAGTCACAGACACCACTCACCGGGCTGCAAGACACATCCCCAGGTCCAAAGACAATTATTGCATGCAACAATGTACAATGGCAGTTAGACAGGTTGGGCAGGGCAGTGCACAACAAGCCTATACTGTGCCATAGACACCATACTAGACGGAGGCTACGACACCATGGATCACGCACTCAGACACTGACATGCACCTCCAACTAACTTCCAAACCGGTGACAGGCTGTGTCCACGTACGTCCGTGTGTTACATTACCCACCCAGTACATGTAGAGTTACTAACACTGTAACAGTTTTAAAACAGCCACAGCTCGTATCCATGGTATCAATGTGTGTCACGTTCAGGGGGATGGCTGGGTCATTCAGATTCACAACACAAACACTAGAAACAGTGCGTGCACCAGGCCAGGGAGCCTTACACATACCGGGTGAATGTGGGGCACTCTGGTGTAGATCTACACTGTCTGTGACCAAGATGTTTCAAATCTGTATTCTCACGATGGCTACTGGCTACTCAACAACACACATACTCCAACAATACCCTCAGAACTTCCTAGACAAGACACCACCACGTGACATGATTCTAGACACTAGTGGGGAGGATTCCATTCTGTTACCACCGTGACCGAAAGAAGAAGCGACCCTGCATCCACGCCCGGCAGGAGTGACACGCTGGAGAATTAGACGAGGGCCTCCTTAGACGATTACCAATTGCAAATCACATTATTTCGTACTGGCCAATCTAGAGCAGAAGACCCACTAACACACCGGTATGGGGAGTACATGTGTAGATCTACGACTGTTGACAGTGTTGTTCACTGTGGCCTAATGATCTATCTACACTGTCTGCAGATGGGCAGCGTTTACATAACTACCTGTATATACCGGGGTATGCAATCACAGAAGAACCTTGAATTGGTATCCTGTAATCACTGCAGGTGGATAGCTTAAGTTATAATGAATTATACCGTTTCTACACAACCATCACTACACAGTCATTGGCTCCACACTGCTAAAATGCACGACACCGATATCGCGATGGATCAGGTCGCAGAGCTAGAGTCGACTGAGGGAGCTCTTATTTTCAGACCAGTGTCAGTAGCATGTGGCAGAGCCAGTCGGGACACGCACGCACGCACTCAATAGCACCATATGCATACCAAGCCTAAGTGTAATTGACGATCTAAAGGAGAAAGCTGATTGAAGATGCCTCTTGTCCTGTCCCAGAACACAGAACATGAAGTGGAGGCCTAAGCTCTAACTAGTCTAAGCTCTAAGGGCGTTGTACACACGCCAGGCATACAGCAAATAGCCGGATGAGCTAGCAAGCTTTTGTTTTCTGTTATGGCTGGGAACACTCGGGCGACACATCCCAATCAGCAACAGGTTCATCATCATCATCATCATTGCCATCAGCAACGCTCCAACGTTCCAGCGTTCCAACCTTCCAAAGTGAGCTGCATTATCGTTGCAGGCCGGTGCAACTAGACTACAAACCCGCCTCCCTGCCTCCCCATCCATCGGGCGAAAGTTATTTCGGAACAGTCAATCCGGTAGATCCGATTGTCCTGTCACGTCTGAGACAGTTACGCACAATTCGATACACATGTATACGCGTACAGAATTTCTCATGTAGATCTACACAATGAAATGGAAGCCTGTCCACTATCCAGACGTTGCACTATACTAGCACTGCCGCGTATCGACGCTGGTGCACTACATGGTCTCAGCTTCACAGCACGATTACGGATACCATCACAATTCCGAACATAATGACTGTATGGGCGAGTCGACAAAGTTGAAGGACAAAACACACACGGACACACGGATACACGCACACACACACACACATACACACGCACACACACACACACACGGACACACTACTCAAGTCACAGGCTGCTACAAGAAAAACGGTAGCAGACGCCATCTCGCTCGCTGGCACCAGAAGCGGAAGAGCATGCATGGTTCTTCCACCAAGTCCATGTTGATCCAGGGCAAACTGGAACCTTCTGACTGTGCACGCATCATGGCCACAAGCTGATTTCTCGTCTGTGCTTTTGTTCCTCCTCATGCTGCTGCTGCTGCTACTGCTGGTGATTCGTCTCTCAGAATAAACAACATTATGCAATTGTATCTTACATTTTCTTGGGAACTCCCCTACAACTATTCGTGTAACAGGGTTGCAAATAATTCAATTGAACGTCAAGCACTTTGGCAGCTTGTTTTGCTCTGTGTTTTGTTCAATCAACATGGGGATGTGGGATGTTGGGTGCTGCTGCCTTCCTCCCTCTACTGCAGCTAACCTAGCTGTACAGTCTGCACGTACTCCGTGATCCATCCTAATAAGATTAGTTAGGCCAAGAGTTATGTACTCTTGGTTAAGCGCAACCAGCAACGGCATCAGTCTGGCTGAGTACGGGGATCGACATCAGCTGCTTGCACTCAATCCACATAATTATCGGGGGGGGGGGGGGGGGGGGCAATCCACATTTCAGCTTTGTACTGGACAGCAGCAAGAGACAACGACTTTGCCAGCCTTTACAAGCTGCAACGAATGGCCAAGCAGGAAGTCAGCTGAAACGAGTAGGTCGTCTCCAGCGACCACAAGGGGGAAGCAACCTTCACCAGTTCACAGCAAGCAGGAAGTGCAGCCAAATTTACACTTGGTCGATCTCTGATCAAAAGCAGCGCGTAGGCTGATCGATCGCTGTTCTGCGAGTCACCTTGGGATAATGTTACTTGCTATCTATGTTTGTGTGGCCAGAGCTCAGCTACACCCGGCACATCTTATGATTTAAATAATTACTAATCGCTGCCTTTCAAGACCACAACAACGTGTCTGGACTGAGATAGTGATAGAGCAACAGAGAGAGGCTAGACCATGACCGGTCGCTAACCCGGCACCATAGCTAATAACATGCTGATGATCGCTGACACTGGCTTGGCGTAGACAGTAGTCGTACACGTCGACAGGCCGATTACTACAGCTTTAACTGTTAGAAGATTACCAAGCGACTGATTGCTAACACGACGCACTGATCCTAAAACGAATGATTCCTTGTGGGTAGCTGTGCTAGACGTGTGAACAAGATCGCCGTGA